TAATGTGTTTCCCCAGGTACACTGCTGCTTTGCACCTGGGGCCCTTTTTTGCCACGCACACCCACCCCGGATGCTTACGGGGCTTATTGTCCAGCAGGGCGGGCTCGTTCACGCACACGACGTCCACCCTTTTCTCCCTGGCGTACTCTAGCAGCCCATCCACTGCTGCTAGCCCCCTTCCCGCGTTCGCGAACACGACCTTACAGCTCATCTGTTGGGGTGGGAGAGGGTGCTGTGGCCGTGGCGTCCTGTAGGTACCTGATGAACGACGGGGGCGCCAGCCTGGGCACGCCCAGCAGGTGTTCCCAGTTCATCCCGTACTCGAGCGCCCGTAAGGTGGCGAGCGTGCTTTCGGCTTCTCCGTTCGGGGCCCTTAGGTCCGCTGGTGGTGCTACCGCTTTTCGGATTCCGGCTACCGTTGCTTCCCACCCCCAGCCCTTCGCGGGCCAGCTTATAATTAGCGCACCGGATCGCCTTGGCCTCCGAATGCCCTTTTTGTTCGCGGAACCTGGCCAAGGCCTCGTGCAACTCTTTGATTTGGTCCTCGGTGGGGATCCAGCCCGTTGCTTCTTCCAGCTCTTCTACCCCGGCTTCCCTGCTAACTCCGTTGTGGAACACAACGTAGGTCTCGGATTCCCTGCGGTCTTTTCTGTCCAGCGCGTCCTCCAGCTCTCGGACTAGGGCCGCTGCCCTTTTTTCTTCTTTCCAGGTAACCTGGATAATTTGAGCAGCCAGTCTCGTGCCCCAAGGGTCCTCCCAGGGCGGGGTTTCTAAGGTTGAGGTTTCGGTCCCTGTTCGGACCGCTGCCTGGAACGTGTTCCAGTCCTGCCCGGCGAACGCCTTGGCGGCTCGGAGCACCCTGGTCTTGTCCTGGCCTTCCCGCTGGAGCTGTCTCGCAGCCAACTGCGCCATTTGCACCGCTCCCCATAGCTGTCTTACGAACGGGTTTGACCCTGACGGGAGTGGGAGGGTAGGGGTTGGGCCAGTTGTGGTTTCGGTAGGAGCGGGCTTGGGCTTAAACAGCTGGCGGGCCGTCTCATCTACTCTTCTCTCCGCAGCCTCCCACCTGGTAGGGGTGGAAGCTCCGCTGGAGGAAGTGTCGTCCGGGATAACGATGGGGGCTAGCCCTTTGGCTTTGGGCGTCGGGGACGTTGGTCGCGCCCCGGGGCCCTTCGCCTGGGCTTTTCGGCTTCGCTCCGGGCTTTCTTCCGGCGCGGCTGCCATAGGTGGCGTACTGGGGCGTGTTGTTGGGTCGGGTTGGCCAGGGGGCTTGCCCTCTGGCTCCCCTGCTGCTGCTAGGTCGATTAGTGGCTCGTCCAACTGCATCGGTTCTGTTGCCCTTCTGGCCTTTCTGTACTCCGCCCTGCCTAAAGACCTAACCCCTATCCTTTGGGCGGCTGTAAGCCTAACAACTTGGTTGTTAACCACTTTGGGCCAGCAGGGGCAGCCCACATGCCCAGGCTTATAGGGCCCTAGGCAGCCAGGGCACTGTGGTGGGTTAGGGTGCCGGCACGGGGCTTGGCCCTCCACCGCGCCGCAGTCTTTGCACCGCTTTGCTCCAGTGCACTTTTCCTCGTTATGCGGCCCGAAGCACCGCCAGCACATCTCTACGTGCACCTTTTGCTGGATCAGCCGGGCCGGGTCCGACCCGAAGATTCGGAACGGGCGGGTGGCCTTAGCAAACACCACTGTGTAGCTGCCGGGCCTACGCCCCGGTACCGCCTTGGCCGGTTGCCCGGCGTGCCTGGAGGCTTCCCTGGCCACCACCTCAGGGGTGACTGGGGCTTGTGCGCCTGTGCCGTCCGCGTACTTTTCCGGGAGTCCCCGGACAAAGTAGGCTACGGTTTTCTCTTCGGGTTCAGCTGTAAACCCTTGTTTGGCCGCCGCCGCGACCAGCGTGGCCCGGTGGCCTACCGACTTCATGGTAACGGCCCATCCAGAGCCGACCTTATGCGCCTGGGTGGCGAGCCCGGGCTGGACTCCCCATTCCTTGCCTTCGATCAAGGCCAACAAAGTTTCCGGCTGCACCTTCCGGAGGGGATGATCACGGGCCAAGCGGAGGAATACTCGCTTGGAGGGCTTGTCGGCCAGTAAGGTCTGGGGCCGGGGCCCTTTTCGGCGGCCTTGGCGGCCGCTTTCGTGGCTTGTGACTGGACCTTTGTCCAGCCCTGATTGTTAGCGGCCGAAGCCGCTGCAGCGTAGCTCTTAGCTGGCTGTGCCGTGTCCGTGAAACTAACTGGCCCCTTTGGGGCCTTGGCCCCGCCGGGGTTGGGTAGCGAGGGCGTTGCTGCCCGAGGGGTTGGGGGAGGGGAAGGTTCCCCAGCTGGCTGATGTTTGGGGTTCCCCAGGATGCTCCCGAGGAGCACCTGGTGGAGTTGTTGCCAGAGGGCCGCTCCGGCCTTCTTCTGGGCGGGGTTTTGGAGGGGGGCCAGGGCATCCGTCGCGGCTTTCAGCACCGCTTCCACTGTCTCGTACCGCGCTGCGGCCTCTTCGACTTGTTTTTCATGCAGTTTTTTAAGCTGCTCGGCGATGTTTGTTGGGGTATGCATTTTGAGGGCGCGCGGGCCTGTGCAGGGCGCGCCGATTAAAGGGAACGTGCAAAAGTTGGTGATATTCCTTTTGGTGTTTTGTCGTGCTACAGATTAACCAGATCTGATAGGTTTACGCCTGTATCCCTAACCCTGCCGGCCTCCCATTGGCTGCCGTTAGGAGAAAAAGATCTTTTCAGGAGAAGGTTGACGGCAGGAGAAGGGGGGCCCACCCATTGGAGTGGGTCCACTGATTAGATAACGATAGCGATAGCGATTAGATAGCGAGGGACCCACTTGTATGGGTCTCCACCCTTATCGGTCAACGATAAGGGCCGGCACGGGAATTGGGCTTATCCCAATTCCTCGTGGGCCCGGCCTCCGGCCTCGAGGGGTTGAATATCGACATCTCTCTCTTATGTTACTACTTGACCTTCCCCTGCCAGTGCAGTTACAAGTGTGTAAGGAGGCTGGGAAAGGATGACTCCATATGGGGGCCTCCCAAGGCAAAGACGCCTCAGGCACCCCTGGGCACGTCACCTAAAAAGACAGTGCAATGTAATAAAAGGGCCAGCCTCCGACAATCCAATTAACGGAGGGGCAGGCAGAAGCCTTAACAACCACTAAACGGTAGCTCCGGGGACAACGAACCTCTCCGTAGTCATCTGTGGATCTCCTCGTAAGGCCATCGGCCAGCCCCTTCACAAGGCTCCCTTGGCAGACTAGGATGCTCTTTTGGCAGACCAGGACCTTCCCTTGGCAGACCAGGAGGCCCTGCGTGCTATGACGCACACATTTTCACCTGGCCACTGGCACACACCCACACCAGCGGACTGGACGTGACCGTTGGTGGCACTGAGTTTACATGGAATGCTCTGGTCCAGTTGCGATGCCCTGCAACTCAAAATCGGGGCATCACTGCCAAGAATATGGCGTGCAAGGATGCATGAGCTGGTGGGGAAATGCCAAGAGTGAAATGAGTAGGGTATGAACT